CTTGGGGTCAGAGCGCAGGGTCAGCCATTGTACAGTGCCCCTAGAGCAGTTGGGGTTAAGGGCCTTGCTCAGGGGCCCAACAGAGTAGGATTCCTCTGCCAGCTGCAGGATTTGAACCAACAACCTTCCAGCCACAGACACTGATCCTTAGCCACAGAGCCACCACTCCATCCTGTCCTTTTTTTTTTGCAGGCACTTCACACATGATGTGTCTGTCTCACTCGCACATAGAGGAACCACATTTAGGAAAAAACCTTTTCAAAAATCACAGCCACATGGGTCCAGGGTACAAATCTCGTTCGGAGTGCCTGTCTGTATGGAGTTTGCATGTTCTTTCTGTGTTGCTGTGGGTTTGCACCAGCTGTACTTGGTATCCTCCTGCCTTCTGAAGATATGCCGTCATCAGACTTGCAGGCAGCATCTTGTTTCTCTTGGTCCTCACAAACTCCCCATGGCCCCAGTCAATTGCAGTGTGTCCAGGGTTCAGTCTTGGGATCATTGCTTTTTATTATTTATACAGTATGTTTCCTCTCCGTCAGGTTATATGCAGACATGGTCTTCAGTTTCATTGATATGCAGATGATACTCAGATTTACATTAAAACTTCTCCCACCTCCATCAGTTATCCCTCATCTGCATGACATCCAGCTCTGACTGACATCAAATTCCCTGAAGCGACAAAACAGACATTTTGCTGGTGGGGAGCAAATGTCAACTGGAAAAACTGGAGCGCTTCACAGTAATAGTTGAAGGCTTCCCATCAAGTGTCGGCCTTACTCAGGAATTTGGGAATCGCAGTTGATTCTCTCCTGTCCTTTGAGCCCCATGTGAAAAAATTCTATTAAGACATTTTTTTCTCACCTTCGAAATATTGCCAGCATTATGAAATTGCTCTCAATATCTGATGCTGAGTGCCTGATTCACAAATGATTCATGCATTTGTAACATGGTGGCTTGCAATCTGTCCAGAACTCTGCAGCTAGACTTTTAACTCACAGTAGACCTTGGCAGCACATCACTCCTACACTACAGTACTGTATCTACATTGGTTGTCTATAGACACATATTCAACATAAGATCTTGTTACCAACTTTTAAATCTATTACTAATGTGGCTCGATCATACATCTCTGAGCTCTGTCAGGTTTACACTCCCTCCTGAAGACGGGTCAGTTGAGGCCAATCCTTTGCTCACTGTACCTAAGACTAAATCTCAGACATCTGGTGACTATTCTTTTTTTGGTTGCTGATCCTTTGTCGTGGAATGTCCTTGCTCCAACTCTCCGAGAGACAAATTCTTTGACCCTCTTCAAATCCAAACTCAAAACGCACCCTTTTCACTAGGGCTTATGTCTGGTCACCTTACGTTCTATCCAGGAAGTTTGTGTTCAATTTTCTTTCACTTTTTATTGTAACTTGTTACACTCCAGTATTGCTATTACTTTTGGTATGTCATCCTTGTAAAATAAACATTCAAAGGATTTTTGGTGTAATCTATAGCACACAACAAGTGTTTTGATTATGATATAGATTACAATGTTGTTTTACATAATTGAATTGGGGATATATATGTATTGGAAGACATAGTTGTCATGGGAGACTAATTTTTCTCCCACAGATTGTGAAAAAAACATCAGGATTCCCAGCAGCTGAAATGATTCACGTAACTAATGATTGCTTTCTCATTCCGTTTATCACAGCACCTACTAGAGGGAGGGATTGTATCCTTGGAGTATGCTTCATTAAAGTATTGGGGGTTCTCATGCTAAATTACATATACATTAAACACGTTCTACCAAGTACCAGTCATACCCTCTCACTCACTCCTTTGTCGTCACTTGAGCTTTTTGGTCAGCAGCCTCAAGCTTTTCCCTTCCTTTCTATCTTTCTCTCTCAGCTCCAGACACTTGCACTTAATGTACTTAATTTTCCAAAACGCTTGGTGAAGAAGCCAATATTGTCTTGATTAGCCAGTTTGGTCACATTGCTTCTCAGCTGTTTTCTTCTTCTGAATCCAAAGACCCAACCACTCCTCAAACAACTGTTCTGCAGTGGATGAAATGATTCACCTTCCAATTTATAGACTGTTTTGTTGCATTTCACCTGCAAATGATGGCCACACAGTGTGTTTTATCAACCAGAACTTGAAACACTTTCAGGGGGAAAGAAGTTAGATGTCCCCCATACAAACGTTCCCAAGATGTCATGTTTGAATAAAAACCAATAGAGAAAATTGGGAGATAGGAAATACTAAAGAAAATAATTACAATACAATTAACTGCAATTAAAGATGAAAAGAACAGCGGAAGGTCTGAGGGAGAGAAAAGTGCATTGAAATATAATTATCAGCTGAAGCTCTTGTTACAGTTAATGTTGTCAGGTGTTCTGGAAGGGGGGGAGGCCTCCAAAACCATAACACCCTTAAAACAATTCAAGACAGGAATCAAAGTCTATATCAACTGTACAATAATGATATCGGGATGTTGAGGATGAAAAACATTTAAGTTTATTCAAGAGTTTAAGCAACATCTACAGTTTTATTTGCGAAATATTGGCAGATATGAGAGAGGTATGTGTCTAGTTTCAGGTTAAATAGGAAAGTCCCTAGTGGAAAAAGACTGGAGATCATTATTCCACCCCCCTTTCGAAAACAGAGGCCGAGACCATACTGTAGGTTACTAAGGACAGTTGCAGTGCACTTTCTGTATAGAAGCAAGTTAATGAGAGAAAGTAAATTCCTCTGCCAAATATAGAAGCAGATAACAGGGTGGTATTAAAACCTTTATTTATCTGAATTCAGGGCAGGGTATCACAAGCTAGGTAGACTTTCTCTAATCTTTTTTAACCAAAAGACTTGTTTCATTTTTTTTTTCAGTGTTTTGTTTTTCATTTTCAGCAGAGATGTCCTCTCATGTAAACAACAAGGTCATTTTCTTGTTTCGTTTTCCCTTTGGGAATTTCTCAGACAACACTGACATAATGAAAGGAAATCATGTTTTTATCTCTCTCTGTGTACAAGTGTTTGGCACATTTCTCACAAAAGGAGAACCCATCAGGAGCAAATTCTCTCTGCACCACAATGATGTATTTATTAACACTTGTCAATGTTTTCAGTGTTCAGTGTAGACAAGTGTAAATAAATTGTTTTGGAGTAGAGTGTGTGCGTGGTAGCTTCTGCTATTTTCATCAGTTTTTTACTTGACATCACCTGTATAATCTGTAGTTGTGTTACTCATCGCACAGTAAAGACCAACTATGGTAAACTCAGATCATAGTGAACTGATCTGATCCCCAATGCAGGTCACTAAAGTGCAGAATCCAACAGGTTTTTTAGTGCTTTTTTAATCATCAACAGCTTTAGTTCGTGTGAGACTTAAGTGGATCAGTTTCAATATCTTCCATTAATCTTAGACTAATGAGGATTCACAGGGATTTAGGAAATCTGTTGGACTGGGAACATCTTACTTTAAAAGAAAGTAATGGTTTGGATTACAGGTAAGGAGATAAAGGTTTCCACATCCTATAGAGTTGCACCATGAAACTAAAGCTGTTCACATCAATACTACTGTATATTGAGATGAGTAACAAGAGCCTTTACAGTTAGGTTTCCTAGTCCTCCGTACTTCAGTGTGTGAGTTCCTTGATGATTTAATTAGACTTAGATTTAACTAATAACTAATACTAATTACACATTTTTAATTTTTTTCCGCTCTGCAGGTGTAAGAGGCTTCTTTATGTAGAAACAGTCAGAAGTTGAAAATGTCGACTCCGAGGGAGCAGAAAGCAATTAAAAAGCCTCATTCAATCACATCAGCAGGTCAATTAGGCAATCAAAGTTCGAGCTGGAATGAAAACCCCAGCAAGTACTGGGGTCACCAGGAGCTGTTTCACAAACAGCAAGTCAACTCTTACAGATCATGTAATTCAGAGGATCTACAACTGTGGTGCTGGGAAGCCCCTGTCCATTTAGGCTTATAAGTCACCTATTTTTAAAGACTGGCAATACTTGTAAGCGATTGATGAATTGAGTAATCAATTCAATTAAGATACCTCTAGTCTTTGAGGACTGAAGAGTATGTTGATCTCTGAGTTATTGCAATGTAATTGATCACAATGGAATTGTTCTGTATCTTTAGAAATTGGGGATTTAATGGTAAGATGTTTAAGCTGCTGGATTAGGGCTCCCCAGGATCAGGGTTGGAGATCCCTGGTGGAATTTTAGGATTTCAGTTCAACCAGGACCTCAGAACCAGAATTGATCTGTTGCAATTAAGTGAAAACTGTGATCTGCATGCCAGTCAATAATTACAATCACAGCAGTCGACTATGAGATTCATCTGCTGAAGCACCTTATCCTTATTAACTTGTATTGCAATTAATAACTGCAATACAAGTTAATAATAAGTGTGAATACTCATGCATCATTTGTTTGTGAACCAAATTGATATCTGTGTATTTTTTAATTTTTGTATTTTAGAGAACAGATAAACACCAATTGCAACACGGATGACATTGCACGACAATCCTTTTATAATACAAATTTACTGTGTATTCTTTACATCTTTCTGAAATGTGGTTTTATTACCTTTCACAGTGTGCATTTTGGACATTTTTTTACTCTTTAAGTTATATGCTGCCATCTTTACAGTCTCTGTGGATTAAAATACTCAACAAGGTCGTGTAGAATTCTGCTGAACATGTATTTCTTTAATTCATCACGAAGAGGCTGAAAAGTCTTGACTACAGAGAAAACAAACATAAAAGTGAAACTTCCTTGGGAGCAAATCTGAGACAGACGAAATGTTTTCTGAATTGTATTTTTTTTTTTACTACCAGTTCCCCTTCTCTCCACGAAAAAACAGAAGAGATAACAATCCGGCTTCAAAAAAGAACAAGGTGTTGTCACCATGTGGTGCACTCTCGTCGTTGTTTTCAGGGTCCTTATCCATTTCCCAGAAAGAGAGAGAGAGGATCCGAGGAATTGTTTCCTGTGGTTGAAGCTGTGATTGGAGCGTTCAGTTCCGGAGCGCTGAGTGCTGCTCTCTCAGAGGCAGAGACATCTGGAAAAAGAGCTGAGCCCGGAGACGCAAGCAGGGGAGGTGAGTGATATTGGAATGCAGCGAATTTCTCTTTAAACCGGACGCTTAATTGTTTATTGCAGCAAGAAACCGGCCTCTCCTTAGCTCAGAGACGCGTCAATTCGAGTTGCAATTGCGAGTAACTTATTTTGGTTTCTCGGCGCTTGCAAATCGCCTTCCACCAGAATGTCGGGAGGAGGGGAGGTTTGCGGCAGAGAAGGGTCCTCGGTCTGGTATGGACGCTGCTGCATCTGAACTTAGTTGTGTCTTGTATCCGTGATCTCGTAATAACGGCAAAGGTTTTCTCTGGGAATCTGTTTTATATGTCATTTGTCTGATTGCCTTCTGAAATTGCACGGTCCGAACTTCAGCATTACCTTGCGAATAAGAGAATTGGAGACACGCTCTGTCTAGCTGTGGGGGAAATATGGTTTAGATTGATGGGGGGAAAAAAAGGATAGCGAAGGAAGGCAGAACAAGCCACATATTTTACCTTGACTGGAAAGTTACGACACCGTGCTCTTTCCATAGCGAGCGAGGCTTATGTGTCAAATCTGAGCATCTGGGACTCGAGATTCTGGCAGTTTTCCGAAGGCGAGCGTCGGGGAGGCGATATTAATATTAAACATAACGGGGATCAATACTCCAGGCAAACGCAGCGACAGCCGGTTCTCAAGACAATCGTGTCCGGATCAATCGATACATGCCGGTGATGGGTTTTGTGCGTTCTGCGACTGTTCGCTTGTGAGTGCGTTATTCTGAGGAGCGGCGCTGGTAGCCGAGCGGTGGCCACGGTCTGGAGGAATGCGCGCTGCCGGGGAAAGCGACCTCGGACGCGCTGTTTCAATTTCGCCGTTCCTCTTGTTGCGCTCTAATCCTTTTTTTTTCTCCTTAAATCCAGAACCAAGCGCCCGTCGATGTAATTTTCGGTCCGCTTTTCTTCTGGGAAGGGTCGCGTCGAGGACCCCGAAACGTGCTGCATCTTAAACCTTTAAATAATGGCATCGGTGCTTACTGCTGCCATCTTTCCGTTTTTTCTTAAAAACGTTCATCTGAAGCCCGAATGCGAAACTATCCGTTTGTTTAAGCGCCCCTAAGTTTGGTAGCTTGCATTTTTGTAAAAAAAAAATTGCACAGTATTTAATTTTTTTTTTCTTGCAGCAGAGCTGGTTACGTTATTGGCTTCGGTCACAAGCGTCTGCAGATATCGCTGCCAGTATCCTCTGCAGCAACGATAAATAAACCGTGCTTGAGGGCAATTAACGCTTCAGTTTGCAAACTTAAGTGTCTTTTCAAGGGGACAAACGGTGGCCAGAGATGGCTCTTAGTAGCCTTTAAAGGAACACACGACAGCCTGTAGCTGACTTGATGTGTTCAACGGGCTGCAACACTGTAAATAAAATGAACATCATGACATAACCACAGACAAATGTTCTGCATTAGAAGAGCGGTTTGCCGTCCTTTCGTTAACAAGAGACCACCTCGGAGAAAATGACTTCAAAACTGCGCTACGCAGTTGGAGATCAAAGAGTAACACTTCATACAACCGCATGAAAGCTGAAACAGGCCAGGACATTAAAAAAAGCTGCGTTGTTTGAGGGTTATTGCTGGTCAGAAGTCTGTTTCTGACTTGGAATGTTTTTTTTTTTTAATTACGCGCTAGGAAAAATATTCTCTTTGTTAATACTCTTTTACACTGCAGTATTTTAGAAACAGTGGGATGCTGCATTAAATTCCTGGCCGTTATCAGACGTGAGACGTTGTCAGCTTGTTTTTCACCCTTGGGTTGTCTCTGGAGAATTGGTGTCTTATTCTTGACCAGCATTTCTGCAGTCACCCGCGAACATTTCAACCCTGTTTTGGAGTAAAACACACGTTGGAGTTTTTCTATTATAATTTTCACAGTTCTGAATATACTTGTTACAGGATTTAAGATTTCGTTCTGGGGCTAGTTTTATTGTGCTTGATATGCAACTGCTCAGAGGTTGAAAATGGTACAGTGCTTGGGTATATTAGGCCTTGCTCGGAACAGTTAGCTGGGGTGGTGTTATTGCATGTTTAAATAAATTGAAATGTATTTACTGGATTAAAGACTGAATTAAACCCTACACACTAAAATAAATCCTAATGGAAGAATTAAGTGTGCCAAGTACACAAATGCAGAGAACATAACACCACTGGTGTTAAACCTGAAATATGGGAATCTGTACTGTACAGAGGTAATCTGAATATTTGAGCTGATGACATGTTTAAACTGGTGTGTTACGTTTTGCTCGTATGTGCTAGGTTTAAAGTGAACAAAAACAACTCGGATGACAAAAGGGAGAATGGCGGCAGAATACAGACTGAGATTTTGTGCAGGACGTACACACAGACCTGTCATATAAGGAGTGAAATGAAGGTTCATTGCATTGAGCCAGTCTTTCTTGATGTGTCTAGCGCTGGCACAGAGATCGGCTTTATCTTAGATTTGTACCGGCGGGCTCTGGTCAGCCCTAGGGACTGGTGACAGGGGAGTTTTTCCAGACCTGTGCTGCACTGGCCCTGGGGGGTCTGGGTGGGCCGGCGGGTTTGCTGGGTCTCTTCTCAGCTGCAGCACCTGAAGTGGAGTTGGAAGAAAGCTGTTAAATTGGCCTCATTAATGAGGCTGATTGAGCTGAAGGGCTGAGCTGGACTGAAAGCAGGCCAACACACTGAACCTCCAGGACCAGAATGGCTTGCTCCTGCTGTAGTAGGCTATAGCGTGGTGATGTGTTGAGGAATATCCTGGTTCCCTGCCACTTATCAACTGTCAGCTAACACTGTGAGCTCGCTTAAACAGTGTTACTGGAATACAGCTATGAAGGCAAGAATCGACAGAAACTCCTGATTTTTTTTTATTTTACATTTAATTGACCAGACACTCCACATAAACATAACTGTAGCTGTGCCTGTCTGTTGCTGTTCATTCGATCGTGGTCACTTCCCGTCCAGATCATCTTTCTGGTGGCAGCAGTCTTTATTTTTTCTGAGTTCTGTTACGCTTGTCCTTGCATTGTGGGTAATGTCAGGAGACTGCACACACCTGTATGTCGATTTTGCGATGCGCTTGCAGAGGTTAATACTACGTAGGAACGTAGAAAGCAAAAGAGGCAGCTAAGCGCTTTCTCTTCTCAGGTGTCTAACTCCACACCTGAAGCACGATCTGCAAGCAAGGACCTCAGACAACAGCTCTAGGTTCCACAGTCCTCAGTCAGCTCAGTACATAACAGAAATGAACAAGAGACCAGGTTGTGTTTAAGGTATGCCTTCCTGAGTGAGTAGGTCAACAACCTGTTAACCCCATTCATTTAGTTACACATTAGTCAACATTTAGGGCTAACCACAATGGAAACTGAAGGCCTCAATAGCGCTCTGAAGAATGTGAAGAATATTCGAATCGACTGTGTCACTAATAGAAACGGCTGGCCATTTTTTAAGGTTGTAAAGCTGACGTGGAAAATGTGAGTCACGGTTTGATATGTGGACCACCGTGGTTTAGAAATTGCCTTAATATAGGCAGTGCCGGCAACAGAAAGCCTCGTAACTTTTACTTTATTGCAGTTAACTATGTCTTACTGTGTTGGCACAGGATTGAAAGGCAAAAGGTCTTCTTGTAATGGCGATGCTGGGAGTCAGTACCGAGAGTCTCACTATTATAACAAGTCTGGCTGCTCGAATGTCTTGACAGTATCTGAAGAGACCTTTCATGGGTTATAGCCAGTTCTACAAGAAATATAGGGAAATGAGGGGCATTTTAGTTAACCGTGCTACCTGCAGGTAGCAGGGTAGAACATCGTTAGAATTCTGTATCATTGATCAGGTCAAGACAAAAGAGATCCTGCACTTGTGAGAATTACCAAAAAGCTCTACAGGTGATATATCAAGCAGTGGTGGCTGCCAAGCAGAGAAATGAAGTCAGTGAATGATTCTTGCAGTGTAAGAGCTGTTGGGATAACCTGTAAGAAAGATAGAAATAGAAATTGAATTGGATTGCTTTAAAGAAATCTAATGGTAAATCTTTAATTTAATTTAGAAACTGCCGACTAAGAGAGGTGAAAGCTGAAACTTTTATTGGGGGTGGGGTCAAATAATTTTTTATTACTGTTGTTGTTCCTAATATAATAGTTCATGATAAGTTCAGCGAGTTCACTTGGCAGATAGGCCTATGTTTTAGGTGAGCAGTTCAAAAGATCTAGTTTCTGTGATTCCTTATCCTGGTCCTGGAGCAAACTGTGCCTGCTGTTTTTGTTTTTTAAACCAAGGACTAAGTGCATAAAAAAAGCCTTAACCAGCAACCAGATCAGTTACTGGAAGCAAGTAACACTGGTGAATAAGGGCCTAGCTGGAACACAAATCTGTAGATACAGGAGGGACTCCAGCACCAGGCTCTGAAGCATTAGTACAGTGCTGTGTACACATTTTTCAACTCATTTATCACAGTTCGCCTCCTGTCTGTACTTTAGATTCTGTATTAAGGCACAAACAAATTATTTGACAAAATAATTACAGGCCTAGATCGACTGTTGAATTACCTTCATTGAAAGGTTTGCGACCTTACAGATTCATCATTGTTGATTTCTAATGAGAAAAAGGTATTGAATATGACCTCATAAAAAAACTTCTTGGAAGATTTATGTGGCACTTTAAAAATCTTTGTTGTTATAAATAGGGCCTACAGTCTGTATTCTAAAGCTCATTTTGTTTGTTACACTTTACCCCTAAAGAAGAATAAATCTGTGTGTGTATATAAATAAATAAATAAAGAGACCTAAAAGTGTGAGATCTTTCCTAGAGGAATGCACTGAATATGTTATTTCGAATTCATCACCCAGTTTACCTTCAAAACCCGGTGGATGAGTTGGAGTCAATTTTACATCTAGACAACTACAGCATTAAAGCTGCAGCTAGGACCAGTATGAGCAGCAAAAAGGTTTGTTACTGGGGTTTCTTTATCTGTAAATGCGGATGCAGCTTCCTGATCTAGGGACACTCAACAGTCT